TTCGAATCCCTTGTCAATTGTGACACAGAGATTAAATGGCAACTCAAAGTGGGAACATATAGGACATCGTGCAGAAGTAATGTTTCTGTTAATTTAATCTTCCCAGATTGTACAGAAATAATTCTTTTCCCATTGGGCAAACCAATCTCACATGGTGATATTCCCACGACGTCATGCAATAACGAAATATCACCAGTCATATGATTTGATGCCCCAGTATCTATAATCCAACGCGGTGACACAGGAATACCTAAAAGCTTCATACTAGAAACACACGATGATAGGGAGAAAAACATCTTCCTTGGTTGTTCATCGGCCATGGCGGTAGCAGAGTGGCGTACGGCGGTGGCGGAAGAATCAACAGCAGCATCTATCACACAATCTGCCGACGAGACGGTCGACGTGCTCGACCGTTCAAGAGCAACGGTCGACCGTTCCGTTGTCCGGCAACAACAACAAACGACTGAAACTGAGCAACGATTGTGGACGCCATGCCGGGCGATCGTGAACGGTAGTCGCTGAAAATCTCTAGGGTTTTGGCTCTGATACCATGAAAGAATTATTTGGGAGGAAATTCTCTGTATTTCTCTCTCGTCTTTACAATTTACAATGAGGAAATATATATAGGATCTCACAAGTTGAGACTCCTAATAAGTAAAGGAAAAGGAAAAGGAAAGAATCCCTATACAAAGAAAACTACCAAAACAATATATACACAAATATCTCCAAATATGCTACCAAATATTCTACCAAATATTCTCTTTCCTTTAACACAATGTATAGGTAGGATTTATGTGAGGATGATTCTTACCAATTAAATTGTGAATAATGCATTTTCAGTCCATCGTGATGCACATTCGTACTTGCATTACATTGTGCTTTTTTTTAGGCTAGGCAAAGTTCAATTTATATACAAAAATACCACCGCATTTTTTATTTTTTATTCAAAAGTTTTTCCTTCTAATAGCCCTTAGACTCTAAATGTATCATATACATTCCCATGTGTTTCATTTTGCATCATTTTCTCTTGAACCAAAATTATATATAATGGATATATGAGCCCCGTATATTAAAAGAATTTTTGTTGAACTGTGTAAAGATATCTGTTGTCATTCTTAATTTATGTTTTTTATGCACACTGGGTTGGCTGTGGACTAGCTCAAATCAAATGAGAACGTTTAACAATGATGAGAACCTTTATTTCAAACAAAACAAAAACATAACTCATTATTAGTACTACACGTTTCATCCATAACATATATAGAATGAACCACACATATTATTGTATTGTAGTACCCTCCATTTTACAAAATACTTCCACACTAATTTTTTTGCACATCCCTCAAAACACTTCTACCCCACTTAAAATATCTAAAATACACTTCTATTTCGTAGTTTATTGCGGGTAGAAGTTGTTTTGAAAAGGAAAATGCTAAAAACTCCCACCCTTGCTACCAACCATGCCCCCCTACATAAACATGTGGTAGGGAGGCAAAAAAATTAAAATTAGAGGATGAGTGGAGAATGGGTAGAGATAAATATGTGCTGGAGAAGTGGGTGGAGGCAAGGTTGGCAGCAAGGGTGGAGGGTGTATAGCACGGTCCTTTTGAAAATATTTTAGATGTTTCGGGTGGAACAGAAGTCTTTTATGAGATGCGCGAAAAATTAGGGCAGAACTGCGAAAGTGTTTTATGAAGCGGAGGGTGTACAATAGTATTAACTATTAATTAACTAATAGATGCCAAATTAATTAAACTAACTCATCATCAAGAGAAGTTCAATTACTTGATTAATTTAGTTTGTTGGAGGGGGTAAAAGGGTAGAAATTGCTGGGATGATGGAGGGAGTGGTGTTTGGCTGTGAAGGGAGAGAGTTCGAAGGCGGAACAAAAGGCAAAGTTGATGAGGCGTGCGGCGGCGACGGTGACGGCAGAGTGGTCGGGAATGCCGGCAGTTGTGGCGGTATCAGGGAAGGGAGCGTTTCTCCGGATGGGATGATTGTTGTGGCGGGGAGAACCGCCGCCGAGAGTGTGGGGACGCCGGGGATCTGTAGGAGCACACGAATAGCTCCGCCCATTTGGATGCCGGAAAAGGACAATAATGTGAGGAATAGAGAGATGGAAAATAGGGGAGACTTGGGAATAATAGCCATTTGGATATATATATATATATATATATATATATATATATATATATATATATATATATATATATATATATATATATATATATATATATATAGCTAATTGTCACTTTGATGGAATGTTATTTGGGGAATTTGTCTTGTAAATGATGAAGAGTGAAGTGTGAAGAGTGATACTCCCTAAAAGCCTTTTTATATTGACAAAGCTAGGGATTGGAATTTGCTTGGGTTGACATTAATTAATTGGTTACTAGCCAATACTTTTGTTCAACTTCAAATCATCATATCCCAACCTTTAACTCCACTTATTTTTTTTCTACATTTGTGATTGTAATCTTAGGTCTAGCTAGCTATATTCAAAGTTTTGTCCACTTCCTCTCTCTTTTTTAAAAAATATTGAGAATTAGAACTAATTTGTGATGACACCTTGTGTTGTAGGTTTCTTCATCTTTTGCCAAACAACTTTGCTGCCCTGTGTCGTTTGAAAAATTGACATTAATATTCTATTTATTTTTAAAATTTATTTCTGAAGTTCATGTGGTTTCAAAATATTGCACTCACACTCATCTGGTCATTTTCCGGCCATTTTCTGGCGAAGAAGGGCATTTGTGCATGTTTTCTGAATCATAGGGGCTCTTGTCCTCATTTCTTATTTTTTGTTTATTATTTGGTTTTTTTCTTTTTTTAGCTCTTTTTTATATATTTGTTTCCCTTTATTAGAAAAGTTTTTAAATTCCTTTTCAATTTTTATAATGTTTTAAAAATCCAAAATTCTTTGTGTTTGAAAAAAAAATTGAATAGTTCCCGTTATGATTCATATATATTGACTTTCATTTGCATTTGTATACACATCAAATTTAATTTTGGAAAGTCCACAGTTTTTAGTCTATTTTCTCACACGTATAAATGGTTTAACCAAGGGGTATAAACAGATATTAGTCTGATCGAATGTTCCATTACCAAATTCGTATCTGTTTATTTCTATTGGATATCGAATTACGATACGGATTTTGACAGATGCTAAAAATAAAAATCCACTACAAAAATAATCACAAAAGGAGGGGGAAAATTCCGATCCGGCCCGCCTCTAATCATATAAATACTGCCGCTAATAGATATTTAGCAGGGACCTAGAGGCGAAAGTCCTTCTGTCACTAAACACGCTGCTGCTATCTGCATCCGTTGGGTATTCATCGGATACCAGATATATCCGTATTTACCCGTTTCCAATTTTTAAAATCAACTTAAAGAATACTTTAATTTTCAATTAAATTAAGGTTAAAATATTATTAAATCAATTGTAATTTTTTATTGGATAATTAATTAAAATTTATCCTTTTATCTCTATGAATAAATTTTATTTTTAAAAATTTATGATATTCTACGATAACTTAATATGATAAAAAGATATGCACAGTACAAAAACACACATATTTTTATATGTTTGCGCGTATTTTATGTGCCCACACATATATTTTTGCATATAAAATGTCTTATACTTTGCTATATCAATATAGAAACAAAACATAAAAATAAAAAAATTAAGAAACATTATGCATAGAGGATCAGATACACAAATAATTAAATCGTTACTTAAACAGATGTCAATGCGGAGCAGATTATAAACGGAGTGGATGTATGATTACCAAATTTGTATCCGTTTACCAAATGGATATCCTTAATCGGATACGGATAATAATCACTTTTAACGAATGCGGATATATTCCATATAAATGGATACGAATGCGGACGGTGATCGAATTTTTGATTATCCATTTTTAGCCCTAGTTTAACCCATACATTTCTGAAATATTCATATTGATCATAGAATGTCTATAAAAAGAATACAATGCTCGTAATAAGTAATTGCAATTTGAGTCAACAATGAATTCATTTCTAGCTAATTACTCCCTCCCTCCGTCCGGAAATTTTCTTTTCGTGTTGACTTGACACGCTTATTAAGGAATAACAAAAAAATGAAAGTATTAAAAAGTAGATTTGTGATAAAATAGAAGGGTATTATTGATATTTAGCCTTAAAAAGCATACTAAAAAAGGAAATGGGAAGATTATTTCCGGACGGACCAAAAAGGAAAATGGGAAGAATATTTCCGGACGGAGGGAGTAATATAAATGCTTCTATGGTGGATCCAAGGTGTACAAAATTTTCGTGCTTCTTCTCAATTAACTATTCGAAACAATTAAGTTAGGGAAATATAGTTCCCAACCAACTTTTCATATGGAGTCACCCCGTAGCCGCGTACGTGAGTGAGCAATTGATAAGATAGGTCATTGTTGGAATACAATCATCCCAAAATTAGATAAGAAGGCCCCCATGGAAGTGAATGCCACAAACTACATTCATTACATTTACAACATACTCGCATTACACTTTTGTGTAAGATATTACATTAGGTTACTCCTATTTTTGTATTTTAAATAAATTTTAATTTATATAG